TGAAGCAGTTAACATTTGTCATCTGGGTTCATCAACAGTTATTTTTGGTTCTCTAAGGTTGGTATTTGACAGGGATTGGTAAAGTACTAAAGTCTTGTTTAGGCTGATAGGTTGAAGAACATAGCAGCATCTGAGGATTTGTTCGGTATTAAGAGTGTGCAGTTATCAGCAAGAGCTTTCTTGAATGATTGCATGGATCTAGTGCTTTGATCCAACTCTTTCATGTATTACATTTAGTAGAATACATTTACTCCTATGTACCACATTGGTAAAATTGTAAGCCTGCAGCAATTTTGGGAACAGCAAATTTTTGGTACAGCCCTTCGGATCACATTTAAGTATACGTATGAAATTCCAGGATATAAATTGGGTCCCATCCTCCGGCACTAAGTCATTGCCATGTGCTACCTCAGCTTTACCTTTAGAACAGAGGGTAATGCCATCTCTCTTGAACAGGAGCAGAGAATGATATTGGAGTGGAATTTAAGAGAGATGAAGTGTAATTTTATTTAAGGACCACCACTCATAATTTCTGCCCCTTTTTTTGCAATACATAAAGCACTGAATGTTGGTGAGATCATCTGTTTAAAATGGCAGATGAAGAATTTAAAAAGTGAGATTAACTTGCCCAAACAAGTCTTTATATTAGGACATAATGTCAAATCTCTGGTCTATATGGTGGTGTAGAGCAAGGCTTTTCAACCTTTCCACCCATTGTACCACTTTTAGGATATGGCAATATCCGAGTATCACCAGTCGCCTAGCAAGATGTCAAAAACTTGATGACCAAAAAAAAAAAAAAAAAGGAAAAAAGTGATAAAATACAGGTAGTCCTCGACTTACAACAGTTTGCTTAGTGACTGTTCGAACTTACAATGGCACTGAAAAAAGTGCCCCCAAGCCACAGCTGAGCAAGACACCTGCCTGTCCACCCAGTGGCGCTCTTCCTCCTGTCCGAGGTTTTCATTGTTGTGAGCATTTCTGTTAAGGATTGGCAGCGGGGATGGGGGGGGGTGCTTGGTTTTTATTCCCCCCGTCTGCTGGGTGGTTGCAGCAAGTTTTGGTCACTTCACATGACCCTGGGACACTGCAATTGTCATAAATATGAATCAGTTGCCAGGCATCTGAATGTAAATCACAAGACCCTGGGGATGCTGCAACATTCCAGCTGATCGGTGCTTCTTCTGGTCTCAGCAGAAGCACCAGGATCAGTGCTGAGCTCCAGCTGGAGCCTGGTGCTGATCCTGGCGCTTCCGCTGAGCCCTGACAGCCCTGCAGCCCCAGCCATCTCTCGCTCAGGCTTGTGCGGTGCTGCCACCGGTTCAGCTCATTCTCTTCCCACGCTACCACTTTTCTAGGATGGTCGTGTACCACCTGCCAGGTGCCAATGTACCACAGGTGGTACCCGTACCACTGGTTGAAAAGCCCTGGTATAGAGCATTCCACATGATAATAAGTATATGGAAGTCTAGAGAAATGGTATGATGGCTTTTGAGAGAATCGTGTAGATGTTTAGCCTAAGACCTGGAATTGTGACCCTGGAGTGTAGATGGTCAACAGAAAGTTGAATGCAAATAAATATCAGTGTTTATGGTACATTTTGATACCATCAGGAAGGATACCACAAATGTGAAAAGGAACAATGTGAATTGAATACCCATTAAAGCATTTTGGAGGAAATGGCACTGAGTGATTACATTTCCCTCTTATCTTTCTATTATCTGTCTGCTTCAGTGTTGTAGCCAACATGTATGATAGAAGTGGGCTTGCTTGGACCTCTTTCCTACGGTCTGCCAGCAGGCAGACCATTGACTTTCAGGGACTTTCCAGGACTTTCCAATACAGGTAGTTAGAATAGAGCTGGAAGGGATCTTGGAGGTCTTCTAGTCCAGCCCCCTGCTCAAGCACGAGAACCTGCACCATCTCAGACAGGTGATTTTTCAGTCTCTTCTTGAAAATCTCCAGTGATGGGGCGCCCACAATTTCTGGAGGCAAGCTGTTCCACTGGTTGATTGTCCTCACTGTGAGGAAGTTTCTCCTTAGTTTCAGGTTGCTTCTCTTTTTGATCAGTTTCCAACCATTGTTTCTCATTGTTCTCAACATACAACAGTAAATGAGCCCAGAATTACAGTTTTAAGTCATTGTGGTTACAAATCGAGGGTTCACATAACCAGACCAGATTTTTTTTTGGGGGGGGGAGACATTTTTTGTGGTGGTTGTCAAGTGAATGCATGATTGTTAAGTGAATCCACTTTCTCCAGCGTGCGTTTTTGGTCAGAAACTGGAAGTAAACTCCAAAAACTGACCAAAGAAAATGTCACAAATTGCAATCATGTGGCCATGGGGTGCTGCAAACGATCATAAAGATAAACGTATTGCCAAAAGCCCAACATGTGATTGTGTCACCACATGATTGTGTACAGCAGTCATAATTTCAAAAATGGATTATAAATAGCTTTTGGGGGAGGGTCCATTGTAATGGTCCCTAAATGACCGGTTGTAAATCTCTTTTGGACAGATACAAGAGAATTTGGTCCTTCTCTGGACATACCCGTAGTGTATTTGGAACTCATCTGTTGTGAAAATAAAAATGTTAGCATTTCAGGCTTCCTACAATGTTTCCAATATATTTTTTCTATATAATCCTGAGTCTACTCTTCAAGTGTATTGTTGTTCATTCCAGCTGGTAAATTAAACTCCTGCGGGTGCTGAATCTAAAGAACACTCTAGAGGAAACAGCTGGATATATATATATATATATTCTTTTAAAAAAATGATTCTTGTTGAAAATGAACTTACAATTGAGGTCAAAGCTTTGAACTACTGGTATTAATAAAGGATCACTGTTGCTGTTTAGCTGTATCATATTACAGAATTTTGATACTGTTCTTGCTATTTATTCTTTTTCTAAGATATTTTTATGGCTATGCATTTCGCTTTTAGTGCTGAGAAAAGTAGACGAATATTTATGAAGTTTACCTTTTATAAAGAATACTACTTGCGCCTACATCTAAATCAGTTTTATCCCTTGCTTTTCAAAGAGGTTATGGTATCCACATAGTAAAATGCTAGTATATCTGAAAAGCAGGGAACCATTTAGATGTGGTGGTTAAAGGTACTGGACTGATATTAAGGAAATTATGAGTTCTTATGGTGGAGTGGTGTGGTGGCCTAGAATTGAAGATAACTTGCCTCCCACCTGTGAGGTTTGAGAGTTCAATCCTAAGCAGCGGCAGATGTTTCTCTATCAGGGCACAAAGAGAAAATATCTGCTGTGAACTTCGCATAGGCATCAGGATGGGCATCCAGCCAGTAAACGCTCAGTTCCATTCAGTTGCCCTAACTTCACTCTGAATAAAGGGATTAAAAGGTTGTTAAAAAAAAAATAGAGTTCTTATGGTGCCAAATCTGGCTGAGGGAAAAAGATACTAGCAAGCCATTTTAGAAAAAATGTTGAAAATTCCATGGAGTTGTTCTCTTATCCACCATGAGTTCAGGGCATCCTTGAAGGACCATAACAATGAAAACATCTGCAATCCAATTTGAATTATTTTTGATTATGCACCATCAAATTAATGCCAACTCTTGGTGATGATGCCTTCGCCCATGACAAAAGCTCCCTACCTGATGTTTCTTTTACTTCCAATAATGTACCCATGTGGGTAACCATCTACTATGCTGCTGCTTGTCCTCTTCTTCTCTTTCCTTCCACCTTTCCCAGCATTAAAGGCTTTTTCAGAGAATTAGGTTTTCACATAATGTGTCTGGAGTAGAGTTATTTGAGCCTGATCATTTGTACCTCTAGTGAGAACTCTGTTGATTTGTTCAATGTTATATTGATTTGTTTTCACGGCTGTTCATGATATTCTCAGAAGTTTTTCGCAATACCAAAGTTCAAAAACATTAATGCTGTTCCTATTCTGCTTCTTCAAAGGTCCATTCTGACTTCAACAGTGTTATAAGGAATTTGCTTGAAGTCTTCTGATCTTTGTAGGCATCTGAATATCTTTTCAAGCCCTTTATGATTCCTCTACCAAGTGCTACTCTGCAGCATATTTTATATTTTATGACTCCTTGATCCATTACTGTTGGTGGTTGATCCTAAAAGGCAGACGCTATCTGTTATCTAAAAATATGCAGCTTCCCAAATATGCAGATGTGAAGAAACTCCCATTATTTTATTACATCAATTGCACTGTACTGAAATGGTTGACAGATAATAGTATAGAAGAGTACATTCCATTCTTTGAAGTAATGGCTGATTATGAATGCTTTAAAGCATCGTATTATAGGCAATGTATTTATTGTGTAAAATGACCTACATTGCAATGATTTCTGATTAGAAAGAATATTAAAAGAGAATGTGTTATCTTTCAAGACTTTACTATAAGAGGTTTTGGGACTAGGTTGTCTTTTAAGCATTTTTAAATCAAGCCTTCTCTATAATGGTGCTTGTGTTTGTGACGCCTTTTGAATTTTCAATATTTCTGCAAAAATATGACGTAAAATGAGATCTGTTCTCCACACATCCCAAAACTGGATAAAATGAATCAAAAACATATATCGATATTTATTTTTCTGTATTTTCTTTCTCCCACTATAATTAAAAATAGGAATATAAAGTAAAAAAAAATAGGTGAGTAATTGTTGGAATATTCATGAGCAGGAAGAGTCATGTGGTAACTCAGTCAGCCAATGTGAAGAAAGTGCTACTGAGTCTGTGCAAAAGGTATTGAGTTAGGAGCTGAATTTTCAGTCTCAGGTTTGTCTCTGTATCTCTCTGTAAGAAGTTTTCATTGAGCTATGTTGCTGTAAAGAAGAATGTATGGTATTATAAATATTTTGATATAAATTTAAAGGTTATTTTGAATCAGCTAAATGCAGTCAACTGTGAGAGCTTCTGATTTATTTTTTCACCAATAGAGAAATTAAAATTCTCTAACAGTAATTGTAAGAATCAATTTGCGTTTTTATTGATTGCCCATCTTGTCTAATTGCAGAACTTAATCTGGAAGGGAATTATATTCATCACTTGCCAGAAGAGGTCCGAACCCTGTTACATCTGAGAATTATCAACCTGTCCAGGAACAAATTTCACATTTTTCCTGACCAGCTGACTTCTTTGCAGGCTCTTGAAATGATCAACCTTGAAGAGAATGAGATTACAGGTAAAAAAAAAAATGTGCTTGTGCATTCAAGTGTCTCTTTGTTCAGACAGATTTTTGCCCTCAAGCTCTAACATTGTCATAACGTCTGTAGTTTTTTCTTTGCAGGCAGGTATTGTTTGACCTTTCAGTTAATCATGCAGATTCCAGAAGTCATGCCAATGTTATGGTTTTCACACGTAACATGATAGATTTCTCCCATGATTTAAATTGCTATTTAAAAGAACAATCTCCCTTGATGTGCTGCATCTGGCTGTTCTTGACCGAGGTTGGAAACTATACTGTTGAAAGAAAATTCTTCATCAGGGTCCAGTCCAAGCCGGGAATAAACAAAATGGAGACTGCTTTAGAAAGAAGGTTGTAGTTTATTGAAGAGCAGAGCCAGACAGAAATGTGGCTCTGGGAAAGCTGACCACATGTAGCTGGAAATGGTGGGTTTTTATGCCTTCTTGGGCTTTTGTGTTTGGAGCTGTTTCCTATTTCTGTGGCATGAACTTTGACCTAAGCTTTTGAGTATATCCTTTTTAGTATTCTGATGGTGATGAGTTAATCCTATTATGACCTAAAGGTCATATTAAATATTACTTAAGTTTTAATTGGAAGTACATTTTTATTCAATGTATTGTACAATGCATATATACAAGTGCAACCCTGAAACAAAGTTTGCAACTTGGCCTATTTAAATGAGTAAAAACAGGAAATTCTCCAGATTTGAATAAGTTGAAATAATCATGCTGCAACTTTTGGTGCTGATAAAACAGTGTTCATGACAAAGCAGATTTTTAATTTGATACAAAGTTTTTAATGTTTATGGCTTTAATAGATATATGAATTATGTTGATTTATAGCCACCCTGAGTCGTGGGGGAGATGGATGACATAAGAATTTAATAAATAAAATAATAAAATAAGTAATAAATAAATTTATTATTGACGTTGTCTTAATTGTGTTTTGGAGCCATTTGGAGTTCAATGTAAGATAGGTGGTTGACTTCCTCGCTTCCAGGACATAGCACAGTTGCTTGAGCAGGGTCCATAAGATTATCTGGGACACTACACATCTTCTTCATACCTGTTTTCCTTGTTACCTTTTGGGAGGAGGCTGCGTGGTATCCGTAGCAGAACATCCAGATTCAGCCATAGTTTCATTCCATACAGCATTAACCTTGTGAACTTTCAAGCTTCCTCCTTCCATTATATATTCAAAATGGACAGTATTTAATATTTATTGTTATGTATATGTAGGGGTATGGGTCTATACATACGTTGTATATAGTACGTTTAGGTGTGTGTCATGTATGTGTTTCACTTTGAGAGTGGGCAACTAAATTTCATTTTTGATGTGTGCCGTTGTGCCCACAATAAAAAAATGACAATAAAAGTTATCTATCTATCTATCTATCTATCTATCTATCTATCTATCTATCTATCTATCTATCTATCTATCTATCTATCTATCTTGTTTGCAGTCCATCTCACCTTGAGGTGACTGGATGGCTAACAAACATTAAAAGCCAATAAACATTGAAACATATAAATGTTTTAAATTAATAAATAATAAAGCAAGCATTTCTTTTTCTTTTTTAGCAGTATGCCTAAAGTTAGAACAGAGATGTTTGCACATATTTTACCATAACAGAACATTCTTGTGATAATCAATTTGCTATGCAAACATTTTAGAGGCCAAGGGAATTTGCTTGAAATCTGTTTCTCCTGAGTGTTGCAATAGCCTATTAAATATTGATAGATTTTATATTAGGAACCTGCCTGTACATTTTATATCTGTGTTGACTCACTTTTGGGATTTGATATTGTTCTCTTCCCCCAAAGCGTTCATTGCTTTTTATTTTTAAGCATGATTCTCTGTGATAATTTAATCTCTGTTTTGCAGTAAAACAAGCTGGAAGAAGATTCTGATAGGCTATTAATAGGAACACAGTTTTCTTCATTAATAACATATTAAGGTGTGGCTGTTTGTTTTGTGCTTATTTTTCCTATTCTGTTTACTTGGCGTTTTTCTGAATATAAGCATAACTTTCTGAAGTCTCAGAAAGTTAGACAGTAGTGACAACCAATTAATTCACATAGAAAAGGGGGAAAGAAACTTGTCAGTAACTTGGACAGATCAGGATTTCAAGCTGTCTGTTGATATTCATGTTTAATATCTCCAGGTGAGAGTGAGCGCATGCATGCACAATAAACAAATTTTCTTACTCTGATTGCTGGGTAAGCAACAATGTACAGGTAGTCCTCAACTTACCATTTGTTTAAGGAACATTCAAAGTTACGAAAGCAGTGAAAAAACTAACTTATGACTGGTCCTTGTATTTACAACCGTCACAGCATTGCCATGGTCACATCATTAAAATTCGGATTGTTGGCTACGAGCATGCATTTATGAGTGCTGCAGCATCCCGGGATCACATGATTATCATTTGTGACCTTTCCCGCTTTCAACAAGCAAGCCAATGGGGAAAGTCGGATTCACTTAATGACCATGTGATTCACTTAACAACCATGACAAAATCCAGCACAACCCAGTTAACAACTGCCTTGCTTAGCAATGGAAATTCTGGTGCCAATTGTGCTCGTGAGTCGAGGACTACCTATAGATGCAGCTGTGATCTCATTCCCGAATTCAGTGGGTAGCTTTTCAGCAGAGTAGAGTTCTCTTGATTGCTCCTGTGCTATAGAAGAATTTTCCTCACTTGGTATTCTGGGGACTGGTATTTTTGGACTGAAACTCAACATAAGCAGTCATAGGCTTTATAGAGGGGGCACCAACTCAGAGCTCCCTTGTATGTATGTACAGCGATGGAGATATATTCTCTTAGGCTGTGAACAAAAAGACTAGTGACATACATGTTATGTACCACCCTGGCTGTGAATGTCTTTTTCTTACCGTCTTTTGGTCTTTAAAACTAACTGGAATCCTATTAAGTCCAGGCTATCCCACTGGGATTGGCCTTACCACTCATGCTGACAGAGGAGGCATGTTGTGGGTCCCGTCAGACCGATTATTCTGGCTGGCGGGGTCCAGGAGGCGGGCCTTCTCTGCTGTTGCTCCTGCCCTCTGGAATATCTTGTCCCACAATGTGAGGTTGGTTTCAACCCTCCTGTCTTTTCTTAAGGGCCTAAAGACGTGGCTGTGCCAGTCGGCTTGGAGCTGATTGAGTAACCTCAACTCCCGCCCTCCCCACTTGTCCTTGGTTTTAATGTCTAATTTTAACTTTTATGTTTTAATTGTAAATGTAAGTTTAAGCCGCCCAGACTTACGCTATAGTAAGATGGCCAGCCAATAAATTTTATAAATATCAATCAATCAATCAATAAATAAATAAATAAATAAATCTCTAGGATTTATTTCCTTTGCTGCTATTACTTCCCTTTTCTGATATGGAAATAAACTTCTTTTTCTTCTTTATTTCAGCATGCCACTGAAATAAGCTAAGGGGAACTGGGGAAAGATATGGAACAGCAGAGTCGCTTTTTAAACATTAAGACAAAAAAAAAACCTGGACTTTTTAAAAATAATGGCTTATGAATAGGTTCAAATGCTGCTGCACTGTATCTGTAGTGAGTCAATACTTGTTTACCTTGACTCCAAATATAATGTGTCTGGACAGTTTCCTAAGCAAGTCTCAAAAATGTCTTTCCACCAAGAGCTTCCATCTCTCTCTCTCTTCGCAACTGTAACAGTATGTAGGAATGACATTTGGGGACAGGAGGAAGAATAAGCAACGGTCAGATAAAAGGCAGCTGAGACTATAGAAGGAATGGAGGTCTGATAAATATTTCAGAAGGAAAACTGTCTTGTTTCTTGTCTATGGACTCTTTCTTGTTTTTAATAATAATAATAATAATAATAATAGTAATGATCCCACCATTTTTTGCTTACAGGCAAATGAACATCTGGCTGACTATGCAATGATCCATAATAATAATAATAATAATAATAATAATAATAATAATAATAATAATAATAATAATAATAATAATAATAATAATAAATTGTAAATTTATTATTATTATTAATAAATTATTAATAAATAATTTATAATTATTTTTATAATAATTTATAAATAATAAATTATAATAATTTTATAATAAATTATAAATAATTTATAATTAATTAAATTATTAATAAATAATTTATTAATAAATAATTTATTATTATTATTAATAAATTATAAATAAATAAATAATAATAAATATTATTAGTAAATTGCAGAATGCCATACCGGCTCGGACGTCGCCCGGGTTAACAAGGTCCACACTAGATATTGGAGTTCCTGGATATCTGGTGAAAAATGGGTTACAGGACTCAGGACTGTTGGCTGAGCAACCAGGGCCAGCAGCTGCAGAACTACTGGAAGAAAAGGTGTTTACCCGTCGCAGATACACAGTGATGGAAAACAAAGAAATAATGATCTGTTACTACAGATCAAGTCCAACAAGAAGAGGATATCTAAAACGAATGCACCAGTTCTGGAAAGAACAACATCCAGAATCAGAAATAACAGAACAGAGACTAGCAGATCAACGCCGATTTATAACACGAAATAAAGTATTCACAGAAACAGAATTGGACGAACTGCAAAGGTTTACCCAGGGCAAAGAAATCAAAGCCTTACCAGAAGTAATTCAGAATGTAGAGGCAAACCAGGGGGAGTTGGCAGTGAAGGAATCCAGCAGAGATATACAACTGTTCTCATTTGGAAACCAGGCACCTCTACCTCAGGAAGAACAAAACCCTCTAACTAAAGAAATAAAAGAATTGAAACAAAGAATAACTGAGCATCTAGAACAGCACAAAAACAACAGAATAAGGCTACCTGCATTGAAGCTTGTTCCAAAGAAACAGCTAGCACAAGCATTAAAAGATGCAAATATTGCAATATCAAGTATAAGCACCAATTCACTGCAAGAAACAAACCAACTAATGTACAGCACAGCTGCAGTTATAACAGAATACCTGGGATGCAAAATCAACAAAGAAGAAAA